AGGCCAGAGTGGTGAGGGATTACGAATTTATTCAATCATCTGCACACCAGGTGGCTGAGCCTGGGTGGCTCCAGCACCTAGTGAAGGGAGTCAGCGGCTTTCAAAGGACTTTTGGTGGGATTTTTCTGGGCGGAGACTTCTTTATGCAGACCCGGAGGGGAGAGGATGGAATGTGGTCACCGCAAGTGAAATGTGGTCTCAGCAAAGGGAATGTCCATAGTGAAATGACCTGAAAAGCCAGTTCCTTGCTTTGTCCTGAAAGGTCCCATGTGGCATGCAAGATGAGGGACTTCTGTGACCCCATCCCCTAGTATTCCTTTGCTTGCTCATTCTATTTGCCACTCTGTTCTCAGGATTCTGGAGCAAGCCGCATTTTCTTCCCACCTCAGTGCATCTGCACTTGCAGTTCCTTCTGCCTAAAATGTTTCCCCTATGGCTGGGTCCTTCTTATCTTCCAGCGTGCCCCTAAATGTCACTACCTTGACCTCTCATCGGCTTTCTATGACATTTAGTTTAGTTTCTATGAAAATCTGTTTAGTTTGTCCATTATTTCTTTGTGTCTGTTACTTCCCACTAGAATACAGGCTCCATGAGGGCTGTCACTTGTATATATTTCTGCGGGGTATCTGTAAGAACAGAAAAAGGCCTTTCCTTTTCTTTGCTATGGCTTTCCACAACTTATGAGAAGCACCTGGTGATTAAACTCCAAGGTTGTTGGCTCCTCCTATTCAAACAACTCCTCTATCAAAACGGCAGGACAAGAGAAGCTACTCTCAAGGCTGCATTCTTGCATCCCCCTCCTCCCTGCTGTTTTCACAACTCAGGGATAATTTGCACCAAGGAATCTCTAGTTACTAGAAAGTTCCCTCCCACCCCACAACCTTTCAAACAAGCCTCTTTTGAACTCTTCATGACTTTTGCTCTAAGCATGTTTTACAGGCTTGGGAAAAATGCCGATAAGACACCTCCTTAGGACATCTGCTGGACTGTCTCCTGGAAAGCAAACAAACTGTAACTTTTCAAGACAACCCCTTGATATCTGCTCAACTTCAATGCAATCCCCATTCCCTTCCTTGTCACTTAGCAACAGCCACTGCTTAAAAGAGCAGGCCCCCCTTTCTTCCCTACCTGCATTGACTAGCAGTACTGGGCCCTTTCCTCTTTGGAAAGTAAAATAAACTTCCTCTCTGCATCTTTTCCCTTAGTTGTGAATTCTCTCACAGCCTGCGTCACTAGCCAAACCCTAACAGTATTCCCAGTGCATACTCAGGGGCCTGCTCAGTATTGGTGGGTAGAAGGCAGGAAGGAGAGAATAGATAGTTGGGCAGGTGGGTGGGTAGAAGAATGAATGAGTGGGGCCCCTGGCAATATACCCAAAAGATAATCTATCTTTTGATAAGTTGTAGCTCAGTTGGTCAGAGTATCATCCTGATATGCCAAGGTTTCGGATTCGATCCCCAGTCAGCGCACATACAAGAATCAACCAATGAATGCATAAATAAGTGGAACAACAAATTGATGTTTCTCTCTCTAAATAAAAAAGGAGAATGATGAGTGGGTAGGTAGGTGAGTGGGTGGGTGGAGGGAAGGGATGAAGACAGACAGGCAGGCAGGGGGGAGAGAGGGAGACAGGTGGGTTAACATACATCCAGAAGCGAAATGAGTGATCAAGAATGTAAGATCAGTCTGGCTGGTGTGGCTCAGTGGTTAAGCATGGACCTATGAACCAGGAGTTCACAGTTTGATTCCCAGTCAGGGCACATGACTTGGTTGTGGGCTCCCAGGTAGCCGATCAATGATTCTCTCTCATCATTGATGTTTCCATCTCTCTCCCCCTCTCCCTTCCTCTCTGAAATCAGTAAAAATATATTAAAAAATAAAAATAAATAAGTAAATAATGTAAACTCAGGAGCCCAGACGACTGAGTTCAATCCCACCTCTGCCACTCACCAGCTGTGTGGCCTCGTGTTGTCAGCAGAACAGCACCAAAGTGTTACTGATGATTGGACCTCCGTTCAGCAACCTTGGTTCTTGAGCTCCGGCTGAGAAACAGCTCAGGGCCAAGACAAATTATAAGAGAAAGTTTATTTAGAAAGTCACAGAGGTAGACGAAGTGAGCGGTAGAAGAAATGGGCTCTGAAACAAGTTACAGAGGAAAAGGGAGGGCCCCTTGGAGCCCAGGAGACAGAAAGGTAAAGGTAACGCCTGGGGGGAAGACGAGGGGAGGGGGGAAGGCACAGTGTGCTTCCTGGAGAGAGGGCCCTGGGTCCTCCATCCGAAGGGCTTTTAAAAAATATATATTTTATTGATTTTTTACAGAGAGGAAGGGAGAGGGCTAGGGAATTAGAAACATCGATGAGAGAGAAACATCGATCAGCTGCCTCCTGCTCACCCCCTACTGGGGATGTGCCCACAACCAAGGTACATGCCCTTGACCAGAATCGAACCCGGGACCCTTCAGTCCGCAGGCCGACGCTCTATCCACTGAGCCAACCCGGTTAGGGCCGAAGGGCTTTTAAGGGCAGGGATTTTCGGGGAGGTCCCAGGGGAGGATCTAAATAGAATTTCACCAGCTTCCCAGCTGTGCTCTTTCAGGGTCATGGTCTCCACTGATTGGTCGCTGCCGGGGCAGCGGGTCATTAGTCAATGCGGCTGGTCCTGAGGCAGCCACGGTGTCACTGGTCTGGTTTTGCTGCTTCTCTGGGCCTGGAGCTGAAACACAACTGAGGCCTGGATGTATTTGATGCGGTTCAGAGCCTCACTGTCCGGGGGCTAATGCTTAAGGGCTATTCTCTGGCTCCATTGTTTTTCTCTCCCCCCTCCCCACCCCCCGCCCCCATAAGGGGGTCTAACTTGCATGATAGCAACACGCCAGGGAAGGAAAGTTCAGGGGAGTGTCCAAACCACGAGGCCAGCCACGTGCTAAGGGAGGAAAGGTCACCCTGGGGACGAGGTCCTTGTTTTCCCAGGTTTGCCTGTTGCTAGGCACCGGGGACTTTCCACCCTGGTGACCTTCTGTACCTGCCCGTCGTCCTTGCCCTGCTCATGCCTGCCTAGCTGCCTACCACACTGGGCAAGTCACTTCACTTCTCCGAGCCTCAGTTTCTGTATTTGTAAAATAAGGATGATGACGAGGATGGTAATAATAGTGATTTTCTTGACTTTGAGTGAGATCCTGTATCCTTCAAGTCCTCGGCCCAGAGGAAGCTTTCAGCAAATGTTAGCTCTATCTCACTGCTCCTTCTCTGCATCTTCCCACTGTTGCAAACATCTGACGCCGGGTATCGGGAACCTCACCCTGAAGATGGAGAGAAAGAAAATGAAGAGCTGGCTTTCTTCCAAGATTTGTTTTCCAGAGAACGCGCACATCCTTCCAACCAGCCAAGTTCCTCAAAAACAGCCAGAAAAAGAAAAAAAAAATAGAAGAAATAAATAGCAAGATGCTTTTTTTTTTCTTTCCTTTGGACCGGACATGTGGGTTAGCTGCAAATTGTTTCCCAAAAATGAGTCAGTGGGGAAGAGATGACATGCGAGTTTGAACCTGTGTCATCAAAACATTAAATAGCCCATCCGCCCTGAGAACCTGCCGTCCTCCAGCGGGCCCATTCCAACAGCCTGGCAGGGCTTAGGACCAGACCCACCCAGGTTCAAACCCTGGCGGCGACACTTCCTAGTTTGTGCGACATTTCAGCCCTCTGAGCCTTGGTTTCTCCATCCGTGAAATGGGAATAACCTTGTCTGCCTCCCAGGGTCTGTGGGATACAATGAGACCACCCAGGAGCCCACAACATGTGAAAGAGTCATAGTGGCCACAGCGGCCGCCATTCTCGGGCCCTTCTTCAGCTGCTGCGGGTGAGCTTGCTGAACTTTGCCCCCTGGTTTTTCAAAGGTCTGCCAGAGACATCTGACCCTCTCATCGGCCCCTGGCTTGTCAGCAAGATGGAAACCCTCTTTAGAATCCTTTTCTCTCTTTTCCTCCTGAATTCCCATGTGTCATGGCTGCCCCCCGCCCCCATGGCTAGGTGTGCCCATTTAACAGATAGGCAAAGGGAGGGGTTCAGAGAGGTGATGTGACCTGCTCCAGGGATTGTCTCCTCAAGGGTGTGGAGACAGGGTCCTGCTGCCTGCAGCGCTGCAGCCATAGGCTGGATTCAAACAGGGGCCAAGGAATCTGGGGGGAGGGGTCCCAAACTCAGACCTCACTGGGCCCGCAGGCAGCATGCCCGGGGAAGCAGACCAGACTGGAAGAGGGGCT